GGGGGGGGGGGGGGGGGGGGGGGGGGGGGGGGGGGGGGGGGGGGGGGGGGGGGGGGGGGGGGGGGGGGGGGGGGGGGGGGGGGGTGGAGACGAGCGTCTCAATAAATCGTGTGGGTGTGTGGGTGTCGTTCGAGCGGTGTGACTTGATACTTGGGTGATTGGACACTTGTACCGCTGTATGCAGAAGCCTCGATGGGGTGCTCGGTAGATGCATAGAGTTAGTCTATGATCGTCTCCAAGCTCGAACGGCTAGTCTAATCCATTTGTCTGTGATGAAATGCCAGTAATATACAGGAGGAGTAACAAAACGAGCGGAGTTTGGTCTGGGAGTTTGCATGTTTTCTTTGTTTTTTGTCTTACTACGGTTTTTGCTTGCCTTTGAAGTAGTGCACAGCAGCAGTACTTATCTGAAGCTGGTGCTATTGAGTTGGTTTTACGTGGGAGGGCACACAGGGCGGCGAAAAAAAATGCCGCCTTCAATTCCACATTGATTGCTGATTGTTTGTGTAGTGATGTCGCCCGGGCAACGCACAACAGGTGTGTGCTTGCTCTGCGAGTTGTACGGCGGTGCATGCGGTTACATGAATCAGTCGACAGCCATTTATAGGTGGAGCCACATATAATGGAGTAGAGAGCGTCAACAGCATTTGTTCGGTAGGGGGGAGCGCAAGAACACAAATGTGTGCATTGATTTCATGTTCGTAATGTGTACAAATGATCGGGGAGTGAGCGTGGGCGGCGGTATAGTAGGTAGGGCAGGCTGTGTGCATGATATTGGTGTTTTTTATTTCGAAGGGTTGATCGGGTTTGGTGGGCAAGGTGCAACGACTGGCAGTGTAGGGGGTTGCGATGAGGTTCCGCCCGCACGTGTGTATATGGATACGGCTGTGCAAGGCTCTGCGCACTCCTGTTGAGTATTTTACGTTACATGGATGAGGGGGGGCTTCGGTGATGAAGGTGATGGGTCCGTGGTTGGTTGAGTACGCACCGGTGACGCGTTCACTCGGTTGTAAAATATTTCACTCCTGCTTGATGGCGTTCTTTGCTGCTGTCGCGCCATGTTCATATACCATGTGTTATATTTTCATATGGCACCCTGCTGTGTGAACGTTTTTTTTTTCTTTGTGGTGGTGTATGTTTCTCTAACTGACATACTTTGTCGTGGTGTTGGATACATACTCGTCATCTTTAGAAACAGCGGTACTGTAGGGGGGCAGCAGGTTCCATGGGCTAAGCAACAACATCTATGTGGCGGTATACCATGGTACATACATGGCAGATGAGGAGGAATTACTGCTGTCCTAACGAGTGGTGGGTCGGACCATTTCCAAGTCGTGCGCAGCTTGTGAGAGGAGGATGGGGGGGTTGTTGTTGTTGTTGACGTCACATTAAACCGTATGCCAGTTGCTAAATGCCAAAATCTAGCAAAGACTCTAAGCCCGTAGTCACGAAAGTGCTAGAGCCATCTGAGGATCTAAAGAACACGCACACGTAGCAAGAAAAAGGTATCCAAGAGCCCGAAGAGGTACTACTACACCTATATATAATCCCTGCAGCACCGTACGCGTGCCCAAAACTGAACTACACGTCCGTCTCACCGTTCGACTACAGCAACATCACCCCCTACCTGTCCCACTCTGTACCAAAACGAATGATTGCCGACTACAGCATACTTGCTGTCTGAAGTGCTGTCTGTACAAAAACACCATGGTAGGCATGGAACAAGAAGCTGGCGGGGCACAAAGCTGCTGTCTGAAGTGCTGTC